GGAAGGAATCATTGAATTAATGAAATAATGAATTCTACGTGTTCTGGCAATTGAAAATTCCCTGTTGATTTACCGTTATTTTACTTTCCAACCACGATGTCTTATTTTTACTTTTACGGAGTCATTTATTTTATCCTTAAAATGTTTTAAAATAATAATAATTTTTTAAAAAAGGCAGGACAGGAAGGGAGTTTACTATGATGGGAAGTGTCTCCAGGCCGAGTCCGTTGGCTGCTTTCCCTAAATAGAGGGCATTGCTGAGTTTCACTTGAAAGGAAGTTGTGCAAGTTCTTCAAAAGGCCACCCATCTTCCAGGTCTGCCTCCAGAAGTCACAATCAAACTCTTCTGGGATTTGAACACACTTTGTCATTTTTTAAAAAAAATCAGCTTTGGGGCTGGCTTGCTGTGGCTTGTTTGCAAAACCACGGGCGCCCGAGCAGGTCAGGTCTCAAGCTGCCCACAGTTTGTTTTGTGTCATTTCTGATATGGCATCTGTCTGCAGATGCTGGCCTTGGTGCTGGCCAATCTTGCTGCCCCATGCAACTGTTTGCATTTAAAAAAAAAGCAACACTGTAATTAAAAAGACAGGGAAAATGGGAATACTGCAAAGTACAGCCCATGTCTGCCGCAGCATCTCAACTTCCAAGATTTCCTTCCTTTCTCGTCCTTTCCAAGGAGAAGCGACAATGAGCATCTGCAAATCAGGGCTTAGTTTGGAAAGTTAGTTTAGTTTCCCTGCTCACCTGCCCAAGGAAAGGATACTGGCAAGCAGGATTGTAAGGAACGCTGTGCTGGGTGTGGGGCTTGGGACATTTTAGTCAATGTGTGCTTGGAAACTGAGTTTCTTCCCTGTGGCGTCTGCCTTTCAAATGTACCTTCCAAGCTAAGCTGGTGGAGGGCCCCCGTGTGCCCTCACTCAGTCTCAGTAGGGCTGATTATTTGGAAAGAAAGTCAGAGGACCTTTTGCAATCTGTGTATTTCAAAATGTGTACGCCCGTGCCCAAAAGTTTTGAGAATGACACAAAGATTAATTCTCACAAAGTCTGCTGCTCCAGTGTGGAAGATGGCAATGTGCATATACTCCAGGATGTTATGAAGAGTGGTCAGATCAATTCCAATT